CGCCCCGCCCCGCCGCTGACGCCCGGCTGCAGCACTGAGCCGACGGCGGCGTGGAAGCGCGGCTGAACGGCAGACAAGCAAACCAGCTGCTCGGCTTTCGCAGGCTCGGATCGCCGACTTCCGACTATTCACGTGTTTGAAGGGAAACTCGGCAAAAGCGGCGGGCGTCCGGCGCAGGACGGGAGCCCGCTTCGGTCGCGACGCGGGCAGGGGGGCGGGTGGCCGCAACGGCAGTCGGGCTCGGGAGGCGCCTCCTCCAGTCCCCCCAGGAAGAGCGACCTACCGAGCCGGGCATGGGGACAAGGCCCTTCCTCGGGGACCTGGTCTGTGCCACGGGCTGGGTGTTGCAGCCCAGGCAGAGGCGCCGGGCGATGCCTTGCGCCCGAGGCCAGCAAGCTGCAGAAACGCGCTGTCGGCGACGGCCGTGTGCTTACCGCCGCCGCGCTTGGGAGCGCTCACATTTTTGTAGAATAACGTTTCATACTGGAGCTGCTTGGCATGCATCGCAGAGAGTTCTTTTTCTACTTGAAAAAAATGCAATTTCAAAGAAGATGCACTGGGAAGTTCTGCTCTCACCCTGTGCGGAAAGAATTTTCGTATTTTTTCAGGCAACCCTAAATTCAGGCTCTCTTGTGATTTGCTAAAATGAGCTGAAAGATGACGCCGAGTCCTGTAGAAATGGTCCGTGCGAATTTGTCTAACAGCATGCGTCAATTGCAGAAATTCAGCAATCGGCCCACAGTTAACAACGTGAAAAAAAGGGTTGATGACTGCTGAATAATTAATAAGTTGGAGAAAAAAAATCATATTCTGGTTTAAGTTATTCCCTGAGCAGATAAAGCAGCTACATTTGTCTGATAAATTACTCCTTCTGAATAATTTGCTTAGCGCTAATTAGACGTAAGAGAGTAACATGCTACTGGGGGAAGAGATGGATCACTGCAAGACTGTCACAATCCCTTCCCGCTATATACAGATATATAAAGAGATGCACACAGATACATGACCAAACAGGACTCGGGTGCTGTAAACATTTTTGCTCGTGTTTAACTCCTCGCGGGAGAGTACAGCCCACTGAAATCCAACGGGCAGCACCACTACCTAAGGGAAAGCTAGCAGGGTGTCAACACCAGGTGCCACGCAGCAGGACAAACACAGGACTGCAACGCTGTGGACTTTCATTACAAAAAGAAATGCTATTTATCACAGGGAAAAAAAACTATGAAAAAATCAATCCTTACTATAAATAACTACTCAGTATTACATAATGTTTGAACTCCGGTAACAATCAAAAGCCCCGACCAAGTCTAGGCCCCAGTGAGAAAGAGGCTGTGAAATATGCCTTGTTCATTACACTTAAGAAACAACAACCTATTTATCTATCAGGAAAAGGAAACAATACAAATTAGCCAGCATAAATACATACACCTCAGCTTTCTTCTAGACTATCCAAATCTTAAGTGGAAACTACTGTGATAAAGCAGCAGGCAGGTTCGTGTATCTGCCACACTGTTCAGGAACCAGTTCCCTGCAGTTTTGTGAAAGCCTGTATCTCAAAGGCTTAGGACTTACCAAGAGCTCTTCCTATCTTTTCCTTAAGCATCCTCACCCAGCTGTGCTTCCAACTCAGACTCTTCTCCAAAGGAAGCCTTTCAAGGACGCTTACACCAACACCATCAAAACTTGGAAGCCTGGGGACATTCTAGCTCTGTGCAGGTACAAACAACCTTCTACACATTAAACCTGCTGGCTTGGTGGGCAGCGGGCCAAGCATAAGCCTGTTGCACCCTTGCAGCAAAGAAGACCAACGGTATCTGGGCTGCTAAACAGCAAGCAGCACCGGCAGCAGACGGAGGGCAGGGCTTATCGCTCTCTACTTGGTGCTCGTTACACCTGATCAGAAATACTGTGTGTGACTGTGGGCCCCTTAATACAAGAAAGACACTGACAAACTGGAGAAAGTTCAGAAGAGGGCACTGAGATGGCTGGTGACTGGAGCACTTGCCCTGCAAGCAGAAGCTGTGGGGCTGAGGCTTTTTCAGCCTGAAACAGACATGGCTTCAAGGGCAGTTAATTGCAGCCCCCAGTACCCCATAGGGAGGGGATGGAAGAGATGGAGCTGGGCTCTTCACAGCGGTGCCTAGCAGGAGGACAAGAGACAAAGGACGTGAAGTGAAACAGGAAATTCCTGGTGGATGTTAGGTGGTATTTCACCAGTTTCACATGTTTTTTTCTGAAGAAAATAGTTCTGCCTCTGTATCACTGAAATGAAAGTCCTACAGGCTACCTCTTTGGATTGTTACTAGGATAAATAGAAAGAGGAAGGATCTACAGGTTGCTGTCTCATCCTGCCTTTTCAGTGATACTCTTGCACCTCCATTAAGGCAGTGTTATACAGAAAGTACTCATATGACTCCTGCTGTTCAGCTGTATCTTCCCAGCCAGGGCTGATATATATTATAATTAAGCCTCTCTGGCACCAACCGGATATCATTCTGTGTATGTTACATCTCCTGTCATTTTTACTAAGGGTGGGATGTAGGCCAGCAGAAGCAAGAACAGGAATTGTGAAGAGCTCCTATGCAGTGCTATTGAGTTGCATTATGTATGACATAGACACAGTTGTTGGTATAGAAGCAGTTTGGTGGTGGGTTCTGAGATCCAGGTGCTTTCTCTGTTGCCTGTCTAAATCCTCTAAAAAGGAGAATCTTCTTATTTAATACAGTTCCTAATCTTAAAATAAGTTGACAGATGTTACAGGCAGCAGCAAATATGTTACATGGCAGCAATACAATCTTAGGTGGCAAAGTGCTCTTCTTCATAGCAAGAATTGGAGCAACTCCTTAATAATAACAGAAAGTCACCTATAGGAAAACCTATTTACAAATTTACAGATAGGCAGCACCAGTGGTTTACTGCTGTTCTGATCTGGAGTACCAGGTACTCCAGTAATAGCACTCAGGATGTTTTTATAATGGCAGATGGCTTTCTAAGTGCTTAGTATGAGTCTGAAAAGGACTCTCAGTCGTTTCGTAACATTCTTTTTGTAATGTATCTTCATCTTCTTGTTCAAACAATGAGATACAAAATGGCAATAAGGTTTACAATGAATAGCAGGAGGTTAACTGCAGGTTGAATTTATTTACTAGACCAGACATGTAAAACCCACTTGTTTTTCTTGAGTTATTCTATTTAAAGCCTAAATTACAGGATTCTTCTCCATAGCACACTCCAGACAGTACAGACAACAAACAATAAGGTAGGCTGGAGGCCACACCAGCCAAACTGTCAGGCTTGGCTGGTTTGCCAGGTCAATGACAGTAAAAGCTTTCTTCCCCACTGTCGACAGCCTCTCTTTGACCTCTTTATCTTTCCCCCCCTGTGCTCTACCTGGAGAGGATAACATTTGTGTCTGTCTGCACATAAGCACATATGAAACTAGTACGAAACAAGACCATTCTAGAGGACGTAAAAAAATTAAAATCCGGCTATCTTTTGAAAAAAGGTCCTTCCTTCCCTATGCTACTACAGCTCGTGTCTTGTACTGCAGAGATTAAAGAGAGCAGGCTTTTGACCCGACCCAGTTAAATCTTACGCTTGTTGACTGTGTACAGAGACGGGATCCCTTAGCACAATCAATAGTCAACAGCACTATTCATGCACACATTTAAGCTAATGGGCAAGCTTTTGCTGCATCAAAAGCCTTCAAAGCTGTCAAGTTTGACAGGGAAGCAATGAACAGGATTGTGGGAAGATAGGGCACTTGTGATAGAAAGCCGAAGTCTGTGCTAAAGGGCTATCAAATGAAAAATCAGAATTCCAACCATGGAGAAAGAGTACAACCATGGATACAGTATCTTGAGGCAACTGGATATAAAAAAGTAATCCAAATAAAGTGTTTAAAGACTCTTCAAAACATTCTAATTTGGTTGGTTGGTTGGATGGGTTTGGGTATTTTTGTGACATGTACAATAAATACAGAAAGAAAAGGAAGTGTTTAGAATGGATCTGTGTAAGTAGCACTGCCAGCTGGAAATAACAGCAGCGTTCTGGAAGATCTTGGCTCAAGCCAAGGAGACATACTGCACAGCCCATTTTCACTTGGGGGGGTGGGGGGGAGAAAAAAAAAAAAAGAGTAAGTCATTGTTTTATCTCAGCTTTGTCAACTGCAAGCAGCCTGTAGTGAACAGAACTGCCCATGACCGTTCTGAAACATTGCAGTTTATGATCACTCAGTATCACATCCAATTTCACTCAGCTTTTGTTTATTTAATGAGATACACAGCTCCCTCTACACCAAGATGACGAGAACAGCTTGCCTGAAAACCAGCATTTTATTGGCTCAAGAAGCAGCATGGGTAGATGTGTGAGGCAATGTTCAAGAAGAGCCTTTTTTTAAACTGAAGGTTTTGTAATGATTTCCAATAGACACTCTATACATGCTATATTTTATAATTTTTTATTTGAATAGGGTGAAAAGGAAGGAGGAATTTCAGGGAAAATGAAAGTATTCTGATGCATGAGAGATTAGACTCCATTCCTTTCAAGGGCTACATTCTTTCCTGTTGTTACAACCCAAAGAGGAAATTAATTTACTGATATGAAACTCCTCCCAAAGACAAAGTATCATTTAACTTGAGGCAGGACTACATTTTCACAGAGATGCTCAGTTACTACTATGATCAATTTTTGTCACACTTGTACAGAACTGCAGAATTAATGAGTGCCAACCTTTCTGCACCTGAGTTTCTTTGCTGATGACTCCTCCTCCTTGCCCTGCTACTTCTTTCTTTTCTACCTTCCTTCCTCGATGTCCACCCAAGGACCACTGTCCACTACTTAATTCTTCTTAACAGCATTAGCTGTGTCAAAGGAGAGCCCAGTAGCTAAGCCTGACTGTCTCAAACTGCAGCTTTTCAGAATCACTTATATCCTCAGTCCTGGCACGACAATGCAGAGAAATGCACCAGGCAGGATTATTAGCTTGGGCACGGCACTGCTCTTCATTCGTGATGCTTCCCAGCAATTAAGGATTACAAGCGAGATGTCTAGGTAAAATGGACGGCAGATCATCCAAGAGAGAATAATTAGAAGGAAAAAAATAAATGGCACATATGGCAGTTCTCAAGGCACAATGAGAAATCACAAAAATGAAAAAAAACCCAAACCCAAAACATCAGAAGGAGGGACGGCGCTCAACCAGCTGTTCAGGCAAAGAGAAGAGTTGAAAATATCGCCGCTATGTGGGAAAGGCAGCAATGTTTGCCTTCCACAGTATTAACACAGCTTTAAAGCAAACAGAAAACTCCATGAGATTGTCAGATGTTTGCTGGTTGCTCAGGTGCTGGTTTGCGTTTTCATTAACACACACAAACACACAGAGACTGTTTTTACCAGGCAAACGATCTAGGAAGCCAAATTTTAAATCTGGATGTTACAAGTCCCTAGACATAAATTTGTTCAGTTTTACAATTTTCACTGTTAATGAGGCTTTGAAAAGTAAGTATAAATGCATGGACAGCCAGCATATTTGGTTAGCAGAACACCCCCTATCTCACAGAACTTGTATGCACAATACTAATGCACGCTATTTTAAATCAAATGAATCAACTGATATACTGACAGGATTTTTATACATTCTGCACACTCTCAAAAATGTAATTTATTTCTACATCATCTAGTATAGCTGGCTGCAGCAGCAGATCTTAAAAATTTTTTTTATTGCCTTCAACAATTATTTATATTTTTGGTTGTCCAGGCTAACGGACTAGCGTGGCATTTAGCACTGTGTACACCCTGTGTACATTCTTACCAATATAAATAATTCCACTGTAACTAAACCAACAGTTTTTAATAAGTCCTTTTTCCACTTTAAGCCTGGAGAGTGATGAGGTTATGAATTTCTAAGACTTGATGGAAGAGGAAGCAGATGAAATTAAATGCCCTGCAGCACACAGAACGTTTGACTACCAGATCCAGGGTCACCCCTGCCATAAGTGTCATTTGCTCAGAAATGCCTGTTATATAAACCACCAAAATCTCAGTATTAAAAAGTTTAATGTCCTGCAGTAAAAGCACATCTAACTAGAGACACCTTGAACTAAGACTTATTAAACAGTAACTGATTTTCTGTACTTATCTTTAAATTCGGTTCTATTAAAAAAAAAAGGCTTTATTTCATAAAAATTGCTTACTGCCTTAAAAAAACCACCAGCCTTGCATATAAAACTTAAGTAGGCAACGTGACTGATTTCTTGGCTAGCTGGAGGTCAGCGCTGGCCCCATCTGTTTGCAGCCCATTACATATTTATTGCAGTTCATAAGAATTGATTTTACTCGTGTATGATCAGAGGCACAGCTGCTAAGGGCCACAGTTCAAATCACTACTCGGCTCGGTGTGAGACAAACCGAAGTATTTTAACCACAAGGACGTAAAACAAAAGTCACAGATCGCCGCAGTTTAAGGCTTACCCTCCAGAACAGCCTCGATCACTGAAGAAAACACACTCTCACTTATAAAGCTGTTACCTGACACTTCAAAAGCAAACCATGCATTAGTAACATGAATGCACAGCCCCTTCTGCAATTCATGCCGAGTAATCATTCCTGCTGTGTTCAAACTCAAACTCCGTGGCTGTGATAAGAAATTAAACAACCCTCTCCCCTCCACTTCCCGCCCCCCCGGCCCCCATTTAACTGTGCTGGTGCCTGAAGTCCCCTTTAGTGTCACCCTCACGCTTGCTGCTGAACCCCCCCGCACCCAGGCCGACGCCCCTTGCAGGAGCCCTGCAGCAGAGACCGGAGTTCAAAGCCTGAGCTGAACACTTACTGGCGCCTAACTGAGCCTCGCCACGCACCAGCCCGTCTCCTCCGGCCCCGACCCCTTCGGCCAGGCAGGCCGGCGAGGGCGGCCCGGGCAGACGTCCGCCTCAAAGCGGGGCCAGGCCGGGCCCCGCCCGCCGGCCCTGCCCGTTGCCTAGAGACCGGGGGCGGCCCCGCAGCGGGGCGGGGGCGGGCCCGCCTCACCCCCGCTTGAAGCGGACTGGCCGCTCTCACCCGTCCGTCAAGCTACGCGACGTGAAGAGCTTGGCCGCCGCCCGGCAAGGAGTTAGGCGGCGCCGTCGCGCGCTGCGTGCGTCATGCGCCTCTGCCGCCAGCTCAGTGGCTGCGGCGCGGCGGGGCGGGGCTGGGTGGCGCGAGCCAAGTTGG